GACATAATTATTAATTCTAAATTAATTTTAGAACTAATTCATTTGAGCAAAAATAAAAAATTTAAACAAGTCTAACTTAAATAAAGATTTTAAAGTGCATGTAACCAAAATAATTCCCAAGAACCATTCTTTAATTAAATTGGTTTAACTTGGTGCAACAAAAATAATAGGGCAATTACTCACTATTAATTTAATTAATTTAAATTAACCTTGAGTTTTTGACAAAATAAGAGGGAGTTGGAAAAATGAACATAAATTCAATAAAAATTCTAACTTTAATACTTGTGAATCCTTGAAAAATTATATCTTCCAATATGAAGATAGACAATTTTTCTATCACAAAGTTTCAAACTTTATGATTCCAATCAACTAAAAAATGATTAAATCAACAAAGTTTAACAAAAAATTCATGGAATTTAGTAATATAAAGTTTCAATAACTTAACATAATTAAATATTGAATCTTTAATACTTGGAAGCCTCAAAGAACAACAATTTCACACTTAATGCAATTAGTTTGCAATTATGTGAAAATATAAAACCAAGCATTCAAGCACAAATTACTACCAAGTAATCATGCCAAAAGAGGTTTAAAATTGCATATAAAATATGTATTGAACCAATTACATAACCACCATAAATATGCAATTAATTTTCAAGGTTAGAAAGACTTAAAATTTTTCGTAAAAATGAAAAAAAAACCCCTCGAAAATAGCATTTCTGGTTGTTTTTTGGCTAAAAGATTGTTTCCTGGAAGGATAGGACCATTTCTAGAACGCATTTTCCACCCAAAATTCACTGTTTTTTGGTCGAAATCTAGGTTCGGGGCTGAAGGTAGCTTAAATACGAGGTTAAAATAGATAATACGAGCTACTAATCTAATTAGCAACTTAAACCAGAAAAATTAAGCCATAAAAATCACCTTGAAAAATATTATGATTTTAAAAATAAACGAGCGTGGCTCCGATACCGCTGTTGGGGTTTGGTAAGTCCAACTTACCGCGGAAACAACCCCGGCCCAAAGAACCACTCGCAATTAATAAAACCATAAAGCATAACAAATAAACATAAAAGGAAAAAAATCGGAATTTACCTTTGACGCGTGCTTCGCCCTCAAAGTAGGGCTCTTACTTGAAAGCTTTAGCTCCAAAAATACCGAGCCTCCAACGGTATCCACCCACAAAGGACGAACACCGACTTTTTAGGTCCGCTACCTTGGAGTTAGCAAGGTCCGACCAAAACCCAAGTGTTAATGGAGTTTAAGAGTTTTTTCCAAAATGCAATGCTCTTTATAACTCCCACTCAAGTACTTTTCTCCAAATCCCAACATGGGTATATATAGAGAAAAGTGGGAGTGAGAATTTCAATTCCATCAATGTGGGATCATGAAATTCCACAATTTAATTTAAAGCTAAAATAAATTAAATAGGCAAGCAAGTAATAAATCAACAAGTGTCTTTGTTGTATGTAAAGAGAAGTGAGGACCACTTGGAGAGGAGGGGACCATACTTGCTCCCCACTCCTTCCTCTCCTTGTGCCACTTGTCCTCACACAAACACACTCCCTTCACATGCTTCCCCAATGACTCGGCCCTAGCACCCGACCCAGCCTAGCCCTGCACTGGCGGGCTGCTAGCTGCTGCCTTCTCGGCCGAGCACGCCCACACACATATGTGCGAGCTGCTGTTGCCGATAGGCGCTGCTAGCAGTTGCGCGCGCCAGCAAGCCACACAATGCTTGTGGGCTGCTTGTCGTAGCTTGCTAGCAAGCCTCGCACATGGTGCGGGCTGCTAGCTTGCCTAATCCCCTAACACTCGGGATTCCGATGCTAGGGGTATTTTAGTCATTGTTGATTTATTACTAATTTTGTCGTCTCGTCTTTTACTATTTTTGACTCGACTTCCGACGCTCTAAGCTCGAATTTCCGACGTCTAAATATTTAACACTCGGGCGACGAATTAATTTCTTCCGAATTAATTCGTCGAGTCGGTTCGTATATTTGCTTGGGTGTGACCCGAAGGGTTCAGTCAAGATTAAGCTGTAATATTAATTATTCATTAATAAGACTGATCGAAAGCGTCCTCCATCCAGGCATTCCGATCACTTGACCTTACTGAATATATTAGCTTTCTAATAATTCTGAACCCGCTATCAGAATAATACACTTGTTCGAAGAACACCATTCCTTTCACTTTGAACTACTTTCTTCTCTCCAAAAAATATTATGATATAAAAAAAATTATACAATAATTTTTAAGAATTATAATCTAATAATTTTTTTGAATAATATTATAATTCAATTTGTACATATGAAAATATTGGTATTTTATTGAAAATAAATTCTAAACTAATAATTTTATCCTAAATTTAAATTCTAAACTAATAATTTTATCCTAAAATTCTATCCAAACTAATATGTGTATATACATATATATACGTATATACATATATATATGTGTGTGTGTATATATATATATATATATATATATATATATATATATATATATATATATATTTGGAACTCTATTTAAATCTATACAACATGGCGCGACACTTGGCGAAAAGTTGAAATGCCAAGTGTCGCTGCCTCGTGACCTGGCTAAAAGTTTAGTTTTATATATTAGTTATATGATATTAGATTCTAAAAGAAAATAATAATCTCTTATTTAATTGGCTAAAACTAAAATTTATTATCATACATGGCGTGCTGAAAAAATTAAATCTTACGTGGCTCTTTAAAAAGTTGGGAAAAAATTATATATATATAATATTTTAAAATATTCAAACAAATTTTTTCCCAACTTTTTAAAGAGCCACGTAAGATTTAATATATATATATATATATGTATATATATACATATATAATATTTTAAAAAATTCAAACAAATTTTTTCCCAACTTTTTAAAGAGCCACGTAAGATTTAATATATATATATATATATGCGTGTGTGTGCGCTAAAATTTGTTATATATTTAGATAAAGTTCCTGATATCAAAAAATGGGAAATCTTATTCGCCAATTTTGCTTACGTGTCACTTAAATTATTTAATTATAAAACAGATTAAAAATCTCGTATTTAATTGGCTACCACTAAAATTTATTATCCTACATGGCGCGCTGAAAAAATTAAATCCTACGTGACTCTCTAAAAACTCGGGAAAAACTCCCCTTGATATCAAAAAAGGGGAAATCTCATTCGCCCTTATGTGTCATTTAAATTTTTTAATTATAAAAGAAATTAATAATCTCGTATTAAATTGGCTACCACTAAAATTTAATTATAAAAGAAACGTACATATATATATGTATGTATGTATGTATGTATGTATTATTAGATTTTGCTCTTTTTTTATTTTTTTGACAAGAATATATTTTGTTCATTTTCTACATCATTTAATGTCTATTAGATTAGTTGTAACATAATCCTTTATTTTGCTCAAAATATGTCAATTATATTTGTGATTTTTTTGTTAATAAAAACTAATTATAATGACAGTTTAATAATGATTATTGAAGATTCCGTGAATAAAAACAACTTTTTCAATTTTTTTTTATTTTTGGTTTTTTTTGAGCGATTTCCGTAAATAATGCTAAAATAAAAAATAATTCCGTGTGTACGTTGCTTTTAAAAATATTTCCCACCATACCGTCCACGTTGGCTCGGATTTTTGGCTTGTTTTTTGGCTATTAATAAACCGCTAATAAAGATTGCGGTTCTACACAAATTAGAACCGCTAATGGTATTAAAGGTTCTTCAAATAGAACGTCTAATATCATTAGCAGTTCTATTTGAAGAACCTGTAATGTTCTTTAAATAGAACCTCTAATGGTATTAGCGGTTCTATTTGAAGAGCCTCTAATACCATAAGCGGTTCTATTTGAAGAACCTAAACATTAAACCCAATAAGTTACTGAGTATTTTAAGTATAAACCGCTAATAACAATAGCGGATTTTTAAAAAAGAACCGCTAATGGGGATTTTACAACCCTACACTAATCCTACTTGTATGGTATCACGGAAAATAATTTTAAAACTGACATATATACGGAATTATTTTTTATTTTAACATTATTTACTTATTTCTTTTTAATAATTAAAAAAATAAAAAAAATAACTGAAACCAAAAACCGATCCAAACACGCCAAAATGAGAATAAATTCATACCCTCGATTCCTTGATGATACGTGACGATACGTATTAGATCTGACTATTGACATTTTATGCGTGCAATTATTTTCCTCCTACGTTTTTTCTTTCCTTGTTTTTTTTTTCTTCTTTTTTTGTTTTGTTTAGGTCCTTTGTTGCTCTCCGCTTCGCTTTTACTCCGTATGCTGCACCTCCCTTTCTATCTCTCCAGTCTGCATTGAAGCGTATTTCGAGCTCTCCATTGAAGCACCTTCTTAGCTTACTCTCCTCCATTGAAGCAGCTCCCGAGGTAAGATTGCTTTCTTTGTTAAAATTAATCAATCGAATATCAATTTCACAATCTAGGGTTTTATTGCTGATTTAATTGTCAGTCAATTTAGGGTTCTTCTGAGGTGGATTATTGAACTATTATTCATCATATTTATAATTAATGAAGTTGTGAATGATGTTAACGAGTGATTTTGTTGATATTTCTTAAGCAAGAAGAATTTTTTGTGATATTTAGAGCCTAATGAGTCAAATTTGGTTGTTTTTGTTGCAAGATTTTGATTATACTCCTTCAATGTTATGATTGAAGTATAAAATTAATCCTTTTCTCCTTTGGCCGATGGCGGCCGTCCCTTCTGCCCTGGTTCTTGGACGGGCCTGGTTTAATCTTTACCAGCTAATCTAAATTGGGTGAACTGAAGCTAAATTTTTTGTGCAATTTGTTGTGTTTCTTGTAAGCTTACATGTTTTTGCAAATGTTCTGCTTGTTTCAGGAATGGGAACTTGCTGAAAACATTTCTTGGGTATTTAATTTGCCGCGGTAGTTCATTTGGAAAAGGCAATTGATTTTTATAAATAAGTAATCCATGGGGGATATACAATTATCTGGAAAGCCAATTGATTCTCTCTTGGAGAAGGTCCTGTGTATGAACATTCTTTCTTCGGATTATTTCCGTGACCTTTATCGTTTGAAGACATACCATGAGGTGATCGATGAGATATACAATCAAGTTGATCATGTGGAGCCATGGATGACTGGAAACTGCCGGGGACCTTCTACGGCATTTTGTCTCTTGTACAAGTTTTTTACCATGAAGCTAACTGCCAAGCAAATGCATGGGCTATTGAAGCATCCAGATTCTCCTTACATCAGAGCTGTGAGTATTCTGCTTCTTCTGACACTATTCAGAATCTATGCTTTGTGCTATTAGTTGTTTATTGCAGTTTTATTTTTTCATAATTTCAATTTGGAAATTGGAGCTTAGATTGTGAAGCCAGGAAAATTAGATTTCATTATTTGCAGGAATATTGTACTACGTATTAATGCTAATGTGTAAAGTGCCTGTTCAAAGGTACTAAGGTGATTAGGGAGCCCACTTCCTTTTCTTTCTCAAGCCTCAAGGATGAAAAGTATACTCATTTACTCCTCTGTTGTGTTTAGTATTTTCCATCCCTAGTTTTTACTTGTTTAAAGTTCTATTGTGTGGGTGGATAAATATGCTGCTTAGTATTATTATGCAGGGTAGTAAATAATGTAGATAGAAATTGTGGGGACCTTGCTAACTAAGGGTGCGTTCTTTTCACCCAAATTTCACTTTTTTTGAACATAAATGAACTTACTTGAATTTATCAAAACTTGAACATGTTATACCTAATTAGAACTTATTCAATCAATCAATTAAAGCCTTAATCCCATAAGTGGGGTCGGCTAACATGAACCAAATTTTATTATTCTTTGTAGACATCGACATAAATCTTCTTTCTCCATCCCTTACGATCTAATGCTTCATCCTAATGCAAATCCCTATACTTCATATCCTTTCTAACTCCTTCCAACAAAGTCATTTTCGGTCTCCCTTTCCCTCGTTTAACCCCTTCATGGTCCCACTCTTTCACTTTTCAGGTCTCCGTCTTACATGCCCTAACCAATGCGGGCGATTTTCCCTTAGTTTATATGCAATGCGTGCCACATCTACTTTCTTGCGGATAACCTCATTTTTGATTCTATCTCTTAGAGTGTTCCCACACATTCACCATAATTAGAACTTTGTAAATTAGAACTTTGATAGCCTTTATTATTCATTATAAAAACTAACTTGACCTCATTTTTTTGACCTCATTAGCACTTAACCGAACTCATTAGCCCTTCTTTGAAAAAATTAACCTTAACTGAACTAGTCAACTAGGTCTAAAATGGAAATGAGACAATCTTTTAGGACATCCCAAATACGAAAATGAGGCAATTGTTGTGGGACAAAAGGAGTACTATCATCTGCACTCTATAGCATGGAAAGCATGCTCAACTACTGTTATCTGTGCTCTAAATGTCTCTGCCTTCATGTAGTTTGGTGAAGGGCTGAGATTAAATTGAGACGATGTATTTGCTAAGACCTATTAAAGATTTTCTTATTTATAACTCCTAGTTAGTAGAACTGTAGGAAGTGTAGTTCTTCTAACTTGAAAATTGAGGATTTAACTATTATAGAAAACTCAAGGAATTTTACTCATATCTTGTTTTTTACTTCTATGCTCTGGCAATTAGTTTTTGACATTGATTTGGGCATCCCCATTCGTTAGTTTCTGATCATGGTATTTTGCATCTGCCTCAAGATGTCATTGTCTGATATACTGTGATTTATGGTTAATTTTGTCTTACAGGTTGGATTCTTATACCTTAGGTATGCAGCAGACCCAAAAACATTGTGGATCTGGTTTGAACCATATATTCAAGATGATGAGGTAATAATCTTCTGACCTTGTTTCAGTGTCTTCTTCTTCTTCTTCTTTTTTTTTTTTTTTTTTTAATAAATATAAATTCTTGAGTATGTGGCTAATAACTTCTCTTTTGAGGCACTTTTGACTTGATGTGCTAGACTATAGCCGCTAAGATCTATATACTAAGAAAATGCTTGGTTTCTATATTTATGTTGTCTAGTCCATAAAATTTCTTTATTTAATAAAACTCTTGAAATAACATTTTCTTTTATAACTAGAAGTTTCTTTGACAGTCATTGCTCACCTCCTACAATTTTTAGGGTTAGTCACTACCGACTTTGATTGGAAATCTGATCACCTTGCACTTAACAACCAAAGAAGTGGAGTTATTTTGTGGTTTTTTAATGCTATTGTGAAAAAAAAGCAAAACCATTTTGTTATTTGGGGGGGGGGGGGGGGTTCTTAATTTCCCTCAATTATAGCCTCCTATAGTTTCATGATATTCTTCTCGTATACTATGAGAGAACTTAGCTTGGGTGAGGTCCACTTTTCCCTCTTTTGGGAGGAGGAAGGGTTGTGGATTATGATACTTCGATTATTCATTTTGTCTTTCATACCCATGTTGGACACGACACTCTGACAAGGGTGTGAAATCCTTACCCAATACTTCATTGCTTACCCATATACTTCAATTTTCTTGAATCATGAAATTTTAGGAAGAGTGTGGGTTTAGTGGGTTATGTGCTCACAGATGGGTTTGAGATAAGTTTTCAACAGGAATTAACAGTCAAGCTAATGTGAAATGTTATGTTTATGTTTATCTGCACATTAGAGTTTATGCAAAAAAAACTTCTAAAAACAGGCTTATGTTCCAGTAATGCAGTGTACCTGTACCTGCGTCCAATTTTAGGACAATGTCCCCGCACCCATCCATTGGACAATGACCTTGTGTCTGGAATTCCCGTCCTTGAAATGTGTGACACTTGTTTATTTACCCACACACGTCACTCATACTCTTGTTCGAGTAACAAAGGTTTTGGGCATTTACCATAATGAGCCATGCCATGCTATTTTGACACCTTAATCCTTCACTGCCAACCTGCTTAAAATGGAGTAAATGAGTAATACAACAAAGTTCCTTGAGGGGCCTAGCCACACCACAAATCACTCTTAAGTCTTGTTACATTGATTGAGTGATTTTAGTACTTGGTGAATTATTATTCCTCCCTGGATCATTTTACTTTGGGTTTTGTATTGGAATTAGTTATGGTTATGGAATCTTATGGTTCTTCATGATGAAGTGTAAATTTTTCATTGTGCCATGGAGGATGCTTCGATTGTTAGGCAATTTCATGTGGTTTTGGATGATTTTGGTCTTGTTTTGGTTCTCGTCTTGTGTTCATCGTCCTTAGAAGTGCCAATAGTTGTTGTTAAGCTTTAGGTCTATGATTTTTTTACTTGTTCAGTATAAATTATGAAGGTTTGAGGTTCATAGTATTGCTATGAACCTCTTCTCTTGGTGTTGTGATTTGTTTTCTTGTAAATTTAAAAGTTTCCACAACTTTTAGTGCAGTGGCCCAGTGTTTACACAATTGCAAAGAGGTTGATTTTAACAAAAGATTGTTGAATTAAAGGAATATGGTGACCAGGGGATGCAATTATAAAGTTTTGGCAGCTATCAGTCTTAATGTTAGCCTTGTCCTTTGTTTCATCTCTCTCCTATTCTAATCCACTAACACCTTCTTCTTCAAAATATTTCATCTTTATAGAATCTTCCAATACCATTAAGTGTCTTGAGCTCATAATGCTGTATTCTCTATCACTTTTGGCTCACAACCACACTATAGGTAAATAGTTGGTAACTATAGGAGTAATAGCCAATATTGTAATGCATTTTTGTATTCAATGTTGTTTTGTTTCAAGTGTGCATCTATGGTAGCCATATACTTTGTAACAAAAAGCTCAAAATCCTTGCATAGGGGCCATCACTTTAGGTAGCAGGCTAGCAGCTGTCATTTGGTACAATATTTGGGGCCCTCACCATTGATGAGTGGTTTACTTTTTAAAGGGAATTTTTAATCTGACTATCATATATGTTTGACCACGAGATTTGCATGAAATTGGTCATTATAATTTAAAGTTGTCCAGTGCCATGAATGACAAAAAGACAGTAAATGAGTTTGCACTCTGTTTTAAGTCTAAATGCTTCTATCAACTTCACAGCCTTTTTCTTGAAGGTGAATAGAAACATTTATTTGGTACTGATTTTATTTCAAGATTTGACAGTTGCAGTTTCATCAACAGTGAAGTGGTTGGGTGCATTCATCCCAAGAATGATAAGGTTTTGCCATGTGCTCAAATATAAACACCTCCCTCTTTCGTCCTGTGTGTTTCCTTATATGTATTGTGTCTGCTTCTTGGTTACGTTAAACAAGAGGAGCGGAGATCTTAGAGATCTCATTTTTTTTTTTTCATTTTTGCTGCCTTTATCACCCTCTGCTCCCTAGCTCTTTCCTTTTAATCAAGCTTTGAATCAGTTTGGTTCTTTTGCAGGAATTTTCGCCAGGTTCTAGTGGAAAGATGACCACTATGGGTGTGTATGTACGGGACTTACTTCTTGGACAGGTAATGAACTTGAGTGTCATTTCATTCATTTGTACATAACCACCATTTTAAGTAACAAGGTGGAGGAATCCTTCTTGCTATGCTTTGAGAGACCACATACTTCCCTTAGATGTGCGCTTAGATAATGCCTTGTTAGCTTTATTCCATGTTTATATTAGGAATGCATTGTTTGGAGTGATTCTTCAGAGCCTAAGCTATCTAGCAATGTGCCAGGGCTCCTCTGTATGTATACCTCTGCAGTTTGTCGTTCCGTCTACTTTTGCCGGGTTTTTTTTTTTGTTTTTTTCCCCCCTATACAAATTGTATATAACCTGCACTAGATGTTTGAATGATTTTTGTTATTTGTTTATTACTTCTGTGTATTGGTTATGTAAACTTTTCTTTTGATGCATGAACCATAAATTATGCTCTCGATGCCTCCTTCCTTAGCATCATTTTGTTCTAAAAAAAATGATGGTCAACATTCATTTACTTATCTAGTACCACCATTTACTTTTTAATCATATGCAAATGAATATTTGGGTTTTGTAGAAGCTGACCCATTTAAAGTTGTAATGTCTTAATTTTATTTTAATTATGTCGATTCAAATTTTTTTTTTTTTTAAAACAAATTGATTTTACTCTTTACTGCTTACTGAAATGATTTTTAAAGAATTTTTTCTCTGTGCCAGGATACTTCTGACACATCCCTCATAAAATCAAGGTGTGAAAGGTTTGCTAGGACTGATTACACGTTGCTTATTTTAAAGACTGACACAAATTGCTGAAAATAATTATAATGAACATCAAACATTAATTTTGCGGTTCATAGTATGAGTAATGTGTTCGATTCCCTCTTTTGGACTATAAAGACATTACTAAGAGACTTGCTGATAAAAAGGGGAAAAATGCAAGAGGACATTAATGAGAGCCTCATTAGAAGAGCACATGATACAGAGGGAGGGGGATGTTATTAATTACTGAACTTGATAATGTAACAAATGAGGCAGCCAAAGAGACTAGGTGGAAGGAATTGGTGAAAATGTGGAGGAAGATGAAGGGAGTTAATCACTTGTTTCTACTTTAAACAGAGGTGAGATGAGTGAAGGCTTGTTTAAATTGCAGTTGCAAGGGTAATTATCTGTAATCAAATGTCTTGCTGGTAGTTGGGCATTCTTTCAAAGAGTTCATCCTGATGTTCATATCAGATTCACTGTCAAGTCCGTATGACACTCCATGGATTATCCGCTTTTTTATTTTGGCATGTTTCAAATCGATTGCTCTAATCATTAGTCTTCTGTATCTACCTAATGCATCTTTTTAACTAAAGTGATTCTGATTGGGTTTTTTCCACAAAATAGCTGTGAAAAGTCAATTGGGACATTTTGTGAAATGGAAGGTTTGTGGAAGAGGGGTGAATTTTTAATTAAGGACTAGGCTGACTGTTAGTTGGTATCCTTGTTACTATTCTTATTTGTCATTTTTGTGGCTATTTCTGTAAGCTATGCTGAGGCTTCAACTAATGTCAGATGTGCATAGTTTGTCAAAGATTGATGACTTGGTGTTTGTGTCAAGTTGAAGATATTTCTGTATTTGTATTTTAATAGCCACTTAATGGTTGAAATTAGTATTTCATCTTAATTAAGAGTTAAGACAACCTGATCTAGTCGACAGCAGTGGTATTTGGTGAATGTGTTGTAACTTGTAAGTTATGTAACCCCCTCCCCGCGCGGCTATGTTGAATTCACACTTCATTACAATGATGATGTTAAATAGGCGAATGTCTTATTTTTTTGATCTTGCTGCTCATCTGCTTCTCTCTAATTCTAGAGGATATAAGTTGCTAGATTCTAATGGCCTTAGGTACTTGATTCATGTGAACTAAAAACAGAAAAAATGCCATTGCCAGAAGGGGATAGATAGTCAGTTTCCATTGAGAAGTTGATGATACAGTGATACATTACAGTGTGTCTACATGCTTTAGTTTAGTGGGTATTTCTCTATAATCTGACTATGGAACTGAACTCAATTTCTGCTTGTTATTGCAGTATTACTTTGACACCCTTTTCCCTCGTATACCTGTAACTGTTGTGCGGCAAGTTGTTTCCCACCTTGAAAAGATGAAGCTCCCGACGAAGTCATCAGGTTCAATTGGAGAGAATAGTCGGCTTGGATCTGAGGATACTGCACGTCGCCCTCCTTCTGTTAAGGCAGCTCTTTCTGTTTCTTTTGGACAACGTGCTCCACATCGGGCATCAACTCGAGACTCTTCTCCTGTTCGCCGTGCTGTACCCCCACCTCCTTATGATCGGGGTGGTAGCGATGATCCTCGGAGGTCTCCTAGCAGGCATCGTAGTCAGAGTCGTGATTTGTCTGACAGAGAGTATTTCGACAGGGATGTGGGGAAAGGGAGGAGCCGTGATCAGGATCGAGATCGGGACCGAGATCGCTACCGGGATAGAGATTTCCGGGACCGCGATAGGGACAGAGAAAGAAGCCATGATAGAGAAAGAGATTATGACCGAGAGAGAGACCGCAGGCGTGATTATGATAGAAGCAGGTATTCTGAAAGAGAGGGCAGCAGAAGGGATAGAGACGATTATGATGATTACGACTCTCAGAGGAGCAGGAGTAGAAGTAGAAGCAAAAGCCGTAGGTCTCCATCTCCTGTTCGTACAGAGCGTTTTGATCATTATTCAAGCACTAACAGTGATAAAAGCAAAGAAAAAGAGAGAACGTCAGCATCAAGCAATCTGGCCAAGCTCAAGGACCTATATGGTGACTTAGGTAACCAGAAAGGTGATGCAAGCATGGAAAGAGGGTACACCAAGGATAGTGGTGCTGAAGAGGTTATTAGATTAGGGGGTGCTCGTTGGAAGTGATGCGCATGTTTCTGTGCCAGTTCAGTTGAGAAACTATGTCACACTCTTTGTTAGACATGATTTGTCCCATTTTAGGACCGGTAGGACCATAAACAGAGATCTTTCTATGTTCCAACAATTGTGATGCAATTTACTGTTGTATATTAGATGATCACATAAGATTTC